GGTGCTTAGTTATGCCGGCCACATGACCACAGAGACGTCTTCGGACAGTGCTGGCTCTTCGGCTTTGAAACGGAGATGAGTACCGCCCCCTAGAGTCGGGAACGACTAGCACATATGTATGAGGGGAACCTTTACCTTTACCTAATAGTAGTAGCTTTGTATTTAACCCAATAAAAATGCAAAGAATATAAGTATACTTTCTCCCTCTGAACCTTGCTGCAAATAATGAGCCATGGCTTCAAATGTATCCTGTTCTATCAACTGCTCTAAGGTTTCATGTGGGAGTTTGGCCCATATTTGTCTACCTATATATGTGGGTAGGACAGTTTTTAACATTTTATACTTGATATTTCTGTGGAAACATACAGAAATGAGACTCGGTGGCTGAGCATATGGCTATTGGTATGTCTGCAGAGGGTGTCTGTTTAATCTCTATTGTCTCCACTTTGGTTATCAATCTGAAAGTCCTTTGGCTGTCTTAAGTAAGAATCCTTACTTAAGACAGAATTCATTTCAACACTACTTCTTTTCTATTGCATTCTGTATCAGTATGTTTCTGCATTAGATTTTTAACCACTGAAGTCAAAGATCCACTAGGCAAGACTGTATAGAGAAAGCTCGGATATTAAAATCTCTCTCTGATGCACCAAGCGCTCCATGGCATGGGACCCGGGTACCTTCGAGACCAACTTCTGCCACCAATAGCCTCCCACCGGCCAGTTCGCTCCCACAGAGCGGGTCTCCTCAGGGTGCCATCAGCCAAGTTATGTCGGCTGGCGACACCCAGGGGGAGGGCCTTCTCTGTGGGAGCCCCTGTCCTGTGGAATGAACTGCCCCTGGAAATGCGCAAGATCTCCGACCTCCGGGTATTTCGTTGTGCACTCAAGACCCTGTTGTTCTGCCAGGCTGGGCTATCAACATAACAATTTTAAATTGGGTTTTAAATTCTTGGGGTTTTAAATTGAGCCGAATTCATTTAATAATTTTAAACTATTTTAACTGATGTTGTCTTGTGTTTTTAATAGGCTGTACACCGCCCTGAGTCCTTCGGGAGAAGGGCGGTATAGATATTCTAATTATTCTATTCTATTCTATTCTATTTTATTTATTTATTTGACCTCTAGCTTTACTTTCCTCCAGGAAATCAAAGCAGCATACACAACACTTCCATTTTCCCCCCATGATAATAATCATATCAAGTTGGATAGCCTGAGAGAGGGTGATTGGTTCAAGGTCATCTTGTAAGTTTCCAGGGCTGAAGAACTTAAACCTGGACCTCCCCCGTCAAAATCCCCAATCACTACCCTGCAAATGTTTGGATTGCACTGCCTGGCATTCTTCATCCTAAAAAACTAGAGCAGGATCAAATCTCATTAGTATTTGGATAAGGAACCATTCAGAAGTACAAGTGCTGTAGGCTAGCCTTGAAATGTAAGAAACATTGCAATCATAAATATATCCACACTGATGCCAAGAAATTGACACAGAACTTTAACAGAGTAACAGAGTTGGAAGGGACCTTGTAGTTCATCTAGTCCAAACCCTGCCCAAGCAGGAGACCCTACACCATTTCTACAGATGGCTATCCAGTCTCTCTTGAAAGCTTCCAGTGATGAAGCTCCTACAACCTCTGAAGGCAAGTTGTTCCATTGGTTGATTGCTCTCACTGTCAGAAAATTTCTCCTTATTTCAAGTTGAATCTCTCGATCAGTTTCCATCCATTATTCCTTGTCTGGCCTTCGGGTGCCTTTGGAAATAGCTTGACCCCTTCCTCTCTGTGGCAGCCCCTCAAATATTGGAAGACTTCTATCATGTCTCCCCTGGTCCTTCTCTTCACTAGACTAGCCATGCCCACTTCCTGTAACCGTTCTTCATATGTTTTGCCTCCAGTCCCCTAATCATCCTGGTTGCTCTTCTCTGCACTCTTTCTAGAGTCTCAACATCTTTTTTACAGTGTGGTGACCAAAACTGGACGCAGTACTCTAGGTATGGTCTTATGAAGGCTTTTTATAGAATGGAATTAGTACCTCACTTGATCTTGATTGAATCCCTTTGTTAATGCAATTTAGGATTGCATTGGCTTTTTTGGCCAATGCAATCCTAAATTGCATTAACAGAGGGATTTGTTTGATTCTTTTTTGAAGATCCAAACCAGGATGACTGTGAAGGTACCAACTTTGGCTCAACCAAAGGAGAGTTTACCTGAAACAGCGAGATAAAACATTAAGCCATCTTTTTTTAAACTGGAGCAGAACCCCCATTAGATGTTAGAAGCAACATTCAGTAGCTTTAATCATCTCTTCCTATTGCTCAGTATCTTCAGCAGGTGGCAGCACCTGGCTGACTTAATTAAAACCTGATGAGAAACCAAAGGGATGAATGCCTTCTATCCCTGTGAAACCTTTCTTGTGCTTAGATTTCATAAAGGTAATGAAACCAAACTAGAGAATGCTGTTGCAACTGTTTTAAGATTGCCAGGGTGCTATGCCAAAATACACCGTACAGGTAGTCCTCAACTTACAACAGTTCATTTACTGACCATTCAAAGTTACAACAGCACTGAAAAAATGTGACTGACGACCATTTTTTTTCCACACTTAAGACCAAGCAAGGTCAACGGGGAAGCCAGATTCAGTTAAAAACGTGTTCCTAACCGCACAACTCCCATGGTTCGCTTAACAACTGTGGTGAAAAATGTCATAAAATGGGACAAAACTCACTTAACAAATGTTTCACTTAGCGACATAAATGCTGGGCTCAATTGTGGTCGTAACTCGAGAACTACCTGTAGTAGTCAATCAGAGGAGCCTGTATTTCCTGATTCAGACAAAATTAAGTCTTTAAAAATTATCTAGATGCTCCAGACCAGGGATGATATAACTCATGGCCCATGGGCCGGATGCGTCACATGCTGCTCATACCCACCTCTGGTTTAGCGAAGGGGAAAAAGTCGCAGTACTGCAGGCTACTTCTGCTGACTGCCTGCAATTTGGCAGTTCAATCCTCACCAGCTCAAGGTTGACTTAGCCTTCCATCCTTCCAAGGTTGGTAAAATGAGGACCCAGATTGTTGGGGGCAATATGCCAACTCTGTAAACCTCTTAGAGGGGGATGTAAAGTGGTATATAAGTCTAACTGCTATTGCTATTTCAACGGAGATAGTCCAGTTGGACCTTTTTTTATCTCCATATCTTGTACTTATGTTTTCTTGGGGCAGGGAGTAACACAAATCAACTGCAAAGTTTTTCTTTATAACCACTGGGGAAATGAGGCTTGAGCAAGACATTTCTTATCGGATGGAATTCCATTCAAAAACAAAATCTAATCTATATAAAAATCAGAGCTCAAGGACTTTTATTGTCTGAAAAGCTTCCGACTCGGTGAAAGATATTATTAATTCACCGGTTATACACATGAAACAAAGTTGGCAGGAAATAAAGGCAGCATTCGCAGTTATTTTATCAAACAGCCTTTGCTTTCTTTTCCCAAAATGAAATATATTGAATATATAGCTTCAAAACAACACTAGGGCATTACCATTCCTTGCTATGGGCTGATTCTGTGATAAATTACATTTATAGATATTGATTCTCCCAGGGTGGGATATAAATTCAGTAGATGATCCCCATTGTAATTCCATAATAGAGCAGCTCAAGAAGTTGAAGAATAGGCAGCACTTAATGGTGCATATAATCGTTTACTGGTTCTAAAGTATCTATGGAACTTTTCTATTCTCTTCAATGTCACTGGGAGCTCTGTATACACAGCTAGATATGAAAATGCCCAAAGATTTGTAGTTATTTACTAGGAGGAAGCAGTAGAAGGAGAGAGATCCAGGTTCTGTGCTTGGCTTCTCTCAATATCATGACAGATCTCTGTTTTGAGACTCTGGAGAATATTTCCCCTACACAGTAGATAATGCTGGGAAAGATAGCTCAATGGTCTGACTCTGTATCCAGCAGCCTCTTACATCCATACAGACCCATTTAAAATTAAGCACACCTATGCTCTATCCAATGGTGGGATTCAGCCAGTTCGCACCACTTCGGGAGAACCGGTTGTTAACTTTCTGAACAGTTTGGCACACTGGTTGTTGGAAGAAATCATTAGGGCAGAGAACCGGTTGTTAAATTACTTGAATCCCACCACTGGCTCTATCCCAGAGGTTGCCAACCTTTCGGACCTCGTGGACCTCTAAATTCATAATTTTAAATCCTGCGGACCACTAATATGAATTTTTTAAAAAGATAAATAGTATTTAGTGCAATATAAAAAATGCAAATAATTTTTCTGCGGACCACCAAAATGTTCTCGTGGAGCACCAGTTGGAGACCGCTGCCCTATCCAGTTCCATCCCATAGATTTTTGCTTGCTGTCCCGTAGTTTACAACCACACAGACAATCATGGTCTATCAGCCAGCTAATGACATTTGCAATGGTTTTAGACCTGTCATGTGAAGGTACAATGGGGTTCAGAAGATACTCCTTTTTCCAAAAAAAAAAAAAGTCGGGAAACATTTCTTTTACCTCTAGAAACAAAAGGGAGCTTGCCCCAAATTTGACAACACTGTCAAATAATTTACTAAGACTGTATTATTAGTATTCTTCTCTTCCTTACTAGTTTCTATCTCTTCCCACTTATTACTATAACCACGTTGCTTGTATCTTTACAATTTATATTGTTTTTGTTTCCTAGTACGATTTGATCGCTTATTAGTAACCTTGTCTATCACTAAGTGTTGTATCTTTTTATTCTTGATGAATGTATTTTATTCTCCTCATGTACACTGAGACCATATATACCAAAGACAAATTCCTTGTGTGTCCAATCATACTTGGCCAAAAAAGAATTCTATTCTATTCTATTCGATTTGCTCCAACAGACCAAAGCCCTACTAAAGACTTAAGAGGCAAACACAGCTTTAAAGAAACAGAGAGAAATAACCTCATTACTTTGTTTGCACTTTCCAAAGCAACCATCAGCTTGAGGCAAAGACTTACCAGCAGCGTGCAGCACAGAAATTTGGTCATTGCACCGGCGGCGTTACAACTCTTAAGAAGCTGGGAAGGCAATCGGATAGCCGGGGAAGTAGCAGCTTGCAAACAGGACCTCGACACATTTAAGCCTCGTTTATATATATTTCTGTGGCCCCCATGCAGCAGGAAAACGTGGCTCAGCTTAAAATCCTCCCTCCCTCCCCATGATCAATTTCTTTCAGGTTTTTTTTTTTAAAGGAACCTGTTGATGATTTCATGCAACTTCTTAACCACAGGTTCTGGGAGGGCAGAGAGAGAGGGAGGAGGAGGAGGAGAAGAGGAGGAGGAGGATTCAGGCAGAAGGATGGGTTAACTAATTACTGTCTGCCAGCCACCACCTCCGTTGTGAAACTGCCTCCCCCCCCCCACCTTCTCTGAGCAAAAAAGGGGGAGTCCAAGGAAGTGTCACCTTCAGGACAACAAAGACTTGAGTTATTCACGCAGTCCTGCCTGTTATAGGAACGGCGTTTTAAAAATAACTCCCTGAAACTGTCTTTTTTTTTTTTCCCTTTAAAGTTCCTGCTTTGGACTCGTTGGTGTGTAAGTGTGTGAAGGGAGCTAGCAAGAATGGGAAGTCTTTTATGTTTTATTTCCCCATCAGGTGAAAGGACCCACAAACGTTTGTCATTTAATTCAAGGCGTTTTTTTATGCCAGTTTGCAGAATCACCTGTGTTTGGACTGGCACCTTTAATTTTTTTGGTTTAAAAAAATTTAAGACAAAAAGTTTTTTTTTTAAAGCCAATATAGTGTAACCTATAAAAGAGTACATAGCATAATCTATAAAAGAGGCTAGTGTAACCTACAAAAGGGGCTACTCTTGTTTCTCCCTGTAGGAAGAAATATCCTTCTGGGTTCAGCTCTAAGTGGGGAAAAAGACACTGGAAACATGGAGACTGCTTGGAAAGATGGTTTAATGGTGGACAGGATCACATGGTTTGAGTTCCTGAACAGAAAAGGGCCTGATACGCCAGTTGCGCCCCTTTCTGGATCGGGACTCCTTACGCATGGTCACTCAAGCACTCGTCACTTCCCGCCTGGACTACTGCAATGCTCTCTACATGGGGCTCCCCTTGGGGTGCACCCAGAGGCTACAGTTAGTCCAGAATGTGGCCGCGCGGGGGATTATGGGAGCGACGGGGCGCTCACATATGACACATCTCCTGCGCAAGCTGCACTGGCTTCCTGTGGTCTTCCGGGTGCACTTCAAGGTGTTGGTGACCACCTTTAAAGCGCTCCATGGCTTAGGGCCGGGGTACCTGCGAGACCGCCTTCTGCCGCCAATAGCCTCCCACCAACCGATTCGCTCGCACAGAAAGGGCCTCCTCAGGGTGCCGTCGGCCAGACAGTGCCAGCTGGCGACCCCCAGGGGGATAGCCTTCTCTGTGGCAGCATCTGCCCTCTGGAATGACCTATCCCCTGAGATACGCACGATATCAGACCTCCGGACTTTTCGTTGGGCCTGAAAACACACTTATTCCATATAGCCGGGCTGGCTTGATCCCATCCTCTCAGTTTTAATTGAATTCGGTTTTAATTGGGTTGTTTTTAAATCTTGGGCTGAAATTATTTAATTGTTTTTTAAATTGTTTTTAAATTTTATATGCAATGTTTTATCTTGGCTGTACACCACCCTGAGTCCCGCAGGAGAAGGGCGGTATAGAAATAAAATAAATAAAATAAAATAAATAAATAAATAAATAATGCTGAGCGTGCCTTGGTTTTATGCCCTCTCTGGCTTTGAACTTCCTGGGGCCCAGAAAGAGTATCCTGATTGTTGTCAGACTCCCAGGGGGTGGGGGTTTTAGCCTTGATAGCTGATGTAATCTTCCCAGATGCCATGTGGTGAGTTTCTGTTGCTAGATGGGTCCTATTGTGTTAGTTTCTGTTGCTAGATGGGTCCTATTGTGTTGCAGATGATGGTCCATTGACAAAGATGGGAGGGAATTGAGTTTCTGCCTCTGGCCCACTGACAAAGGTTGGGGGGCAGGAAGGTGGGAGCTGCTTCGTCTTTAAAACACGCTTCTCTGAGTTTCTACTTCTCTTGTAGGGAAAATATTCTGCCTTTTTAGTATTTCCTAAAATATTTCATTTTTCTAGGAGAGGGGTGGGTCCTAACTTCCTACATCCCTCTTAAGGAAAAGGGTGCAAGAGGATTTATTTTGCTTGCGATGATGTACTTATTTCTTTGGAAAGAAGCGTCCCTAAAATCAAAACAAAAAGCAAGATGGAAGCAATTTAAGGACACATTGCAGCCCTCCAAACAAAGATATAATTGCCTGACTAAGATGTGTGAGGACAAAAAAGATAAGTTCAGTAATTTCTCCTGAGTGTTTCATTTGAACTGAAGAAGGGCTACTGAGATGAGAACCTATTGGCCAGTGACTATAGGGCAAATCCACTACAAGCCCTAGCAAACTCCTTTCTACAGCTTTGCAACTCCATTATTATTATTTTTCTTTTCTTCATGTGGATCAGCGCATACATATTGTTGGGAGAAATATCCATATGGTTCAGTTCCAAGCCGGGGGGAAAAGACACTGGAAACATGGAGGCTAATTGGAAAGATGGTTTAATGGTGAAGCAGAAGCACATGGGTGATTCTGGGCAGCTGACCACATGGAGTTGAGAAAGAGGGGTATTTATACCTTCACTTGGGCTTTGCACTTGAACCTCCTGTTCCTGTGCAAGACCATGTATTCTATTGGATGTTGTAGGGGTCATAGCTAACTTTGTAGGTTTCTGAGTCCCAGGTTTAGTTGAAGTTTGCACATGTGTGCCGGGGAGCAGCTCTTCTGGTTTCCGGCACTCCCACACACACAAAAACTAGTTGGTCAGCGCACATGTGCACGCTGGAACCCAGAAAAGCAACGGGTGACAGCTGGCGTGCCCGGAGAGATGGCTCTGAATGCCACTTCCGGCACGCATGCCATAGGTTCACCATCACGGCTATAGTCTTTTGGCTAATGTAACATCACCAAATGCTAAATAAATTAATAAATAAGGAAAGGGGGGGGATTAGGAAAATCCCAAATTACACTGCTCCCCATGGGACAGACATAAAACAACAATGTTCTTTCAAAAAAAAGAAAAAGATATTCTAAAAAAAGATATCCATCCATATATCTATCCCATATATCTGTCCTGGGTTGCTGCTACTGTCCCTGTTTTTTTATATATATATAATTTTTAAATTTATTTTTAATAAATTATATTTTAATACGATACGCTGCTACTCTCCCTGTTGAATAGCAGTCATTACAGTGACCTCTTCTTTCATTCAAATTGAATTTTTCTCAAAATCTATTGAACTTATTTTTTCAGGTTACTTCAGGGCCAGGAAACTATGCATTTATTTCTCCTGCTCTTATTTCTGCCCTGTTCTTGAAAGATGGTTTTTCTTTCTTGTTGAAAGGAAAAAAGGACAGCAATTTCCCTGCATACGTGATTCCCAAGTCATTCTTCATCTGCCTTGAATGTATATGGAGGCCCATGCTGCTGTTGGTGAATATGAAGTGCAGGCTAGCAAAGGTATCTCATACATTCTTGTTTATTCTTTACTCAGTGTTGAACCATTCACTAAGCAGCCAGTTTGTTCCAGAGGTGCGATTCACTTACCTTCCCTACTGGTTCACAAATGTGAGCACAGTCTTCCTCACATGCTCTTTGCTCGCGCATTACATCCAGGTGGTGGATGGATCCTCCTACAGTCACTACTATCAGTTCGCCCGAACCGGACAGAACTGGCTGAATCCCACCACTGATTTGTTCCCATACAAATAATACAATGTTTATAATAAAGCACTCTTAATGCATTCAACAACCCATCTTCAACTCTAGAACAATAGCACTTAGACTTATATACCACTTCACAGTGCTTTACAGAGCCCTCTCTAAGCGGTTTACAGCATCAACAACTTGCCCCAACAATCTGGGTCCTCATTTTACCGACCTCGGGAGGATGGAAAGCTGAATCAACCTTGAGCCGGTGGGACTCAAACTGCCAAACTGCTGGCAGCTGGCAGTCAGCAGAAATAATACTGCATTCTAACCACTGCGCCACCTCAGCTATATTTGCATGGAATGTTCCATAATTCACAATTCACCTTATCATATGCTTTCTGCAAATCAGTATTGTTCAAACCTGGCAATTTTAAGATGTATGTACTTCAACTCTCAGTATTCCCAGGCAACATGCATCTTAAAAGTTGCCAGGTTTGAAAAATTCTGCTCAAAATCAACTAATGCCTAATGAACTTCCTTTGAGAACTTTATAAAGGAATGGAAATCTTGTCTGCAACACTACACTTCCCAAATTCTGCTCACTGTCACCTCCTGTACCCTTTCCATTAGAATTGTGCTTAACGTTTGATAAAATAAACCCATTGTAGTATATGTTCCTTCTTGCAACTTTTCCATTTGCATAGGGAACAATGCTGGTATTCTTTTAATCCTCATACTGCAAAGGTGCAATTTTACAGACATACCATGTAAGTCTCAGAGACACTCCATAAATAAATCATATGTATAAACCATTGACATCTGGAGATTTACCAGTTTTTTTCAATATGCGCGTGGTACTTACATTTTCCTCTTCATCAATTTTTCTTCAACAGTGCCATTTATAGCATTCTTTTCAAATCCACTCTTTGACATAGTAGTTCTTAGTCCTGTATAAATCACTAAAATATTTAACCCAGCATTCTTTCATTTTAGTTCCTTCAAACTATTTTTCTTTTTAATTCCATTCATTCTTTGTTTTAACTCTTTGTATTCACTTCCAAAGCAATTTTTTTCCCCCAACAAAATCATTCGGCATTTTCTCTGCCTCTTTTCATCGTAATCCTTCCTTAAGGATTATTATTTTCCTTCAGAGCATATACACATTATTTGATATATTTCTCTCATTCTTGTTTTTTCAGCATTCTCCTCTCTGACTTTTTTCGTCAGCCACAGCTTCTTGTCCTTCATCAATCCACCCAGCATCCTTCTCTATGTCCCAAAGGTGTTTTTTCAAGAGGCAACTGGACTTTCTTGTTTTTCTTCAGACTTTTTCTTTTCAGCTCTGAGCTGAAGAAGCTTCTTGGATGAGAAGCGAAACGTCTTCAAAGAAAACCCAGAAAGTCCAGTTGCCTCTTAAAAAAGCACCTTTGGGACAACTATGACCTGGATGACTGAGAATCTCCATAGACATCCTTCTCTGTGCTTCCCA